ACAATATTTTTACCACTCATGTAACCAGGGGGCCTCCTTTTCATTTTTAGAGTTAGAATGAAGATCTTTATATTTTGTGATTTGTCTTACTGATATCTGGGCATGTGTGCGTATGTTATGAAGTACGCTGGTTTTCAGAGGAAACAGGGTATAATCAGTCAAATCAGTTGTGACTCACACAGTGCACACCACGTGCCAAAGGTCTCTGCTAACAGTTTCCATAGTGGTGACTTTTAGGTGAATCAGTTTTATGGTATTATGATAAAATGATTTCTTATATGGCAACGAACATATACAGGAAACAGTCAGTTCAAGTAAATCTATTTATAAGCACATTTAACTACACAGGTTGACCAAAGTGCTGTAGGCGAGGTTATTCAGACATATTGTGTCATAGCAATGGTTGTCATTTCCTCCTGAGATCCCAAGGCATTCTAAGACCAAATTAGATATGTAATCCCTCTAAAGAGTTTCCTGAAAAATCTCTAAAGAAATGTTGCTAGAAAGCCTTCAAAGCAGATGCCTGAACCAACACAGCTGTGAAGTAATTCCTTCCTAACAGCGATTTTTACGAGAAATGTCAAATTTGGGTCTTTTGTATTTAAGTTTGCCCAAAATCAAGTTGGTAAATTTATAGTTCTGTTAACACAAAATCTTGTTTAGCGTTTCCCTGCTCAGTTGTGGTAGAGAAAACGCAAAAAAGACATTTTTCCCTAAAGGACTGTGCTGTCTCAGACTGGCCTTAAATGCACTTAATTCCTGAAACAAGGATTGTGCCCACTAATATGTAGGCATGCTAAGGAAATAAGGTTCGGTTTTGACAGTGACCGTAAACTTCTTAATAGATTTAAAAAACAAAAACAAAACAGCAACAAAAAAACAAATTATTAGAAAAATCAAGAAAGTAGTGCGAGCTTAAAAATTTGATGTGATACTGATTTTTCCTGCTGTAACTTCTCTGTAAATTACATGTTCCATGTTCTCTTTAACTTACTCTCATATAGTGTGCCTCATATTAAACAATTTCCTGTAGTTGCACAAAACCACAGAAAGATACATGAGTTAGAGCCAGAAATCAGCCTTTGCACTCTGTCAAAGAATATGAGCAATGACATTATCTTTCCTGTCAGTGTCCACTAGCCCAGTCCACTATATGTAGCATTCATTTTTTTTAAAAGATGTGTGTGGTAAAGCAGCGCAGATTAGTCATAGGATAAATGGAATATACTAGAGTAAGCATAAAATGTGATTTATTTTTATAATATTATTATACATAGATATATATACATAATATATAGTAAGCATTTCTTTTTCCAGTATTCCAGCACATACACAGATGGTGCTTAACTAATATTGCATTGATTTATATTAGAAATCTCATCCTCTACTTTCATCACATCCCATCCACACAAGTTGTTCCTTTTCTATAGCTGATGCCTTCTATTCTGTAGCCCAGGATAAGCAAATATGCCACAGAGGTAACTCTATGCTTCGGTAACCTGGGTCATGCATGCCACTGAAATGAGTAGCTGTTTAGCTGGCCAAGACAATCCCCTTCCCCAAAGCTAGTTGGACATGTCTCCTATAATAAAATAAAGATGCCCCCCCTCCCCGAAGCTGCCATCTCCCATGACCTATTTTCTTTATGGCTAATGGTTGGTGGCTAGCTGCTGAGTGGTAAATGCACAAAGGACAATACACAGATGAGAGCACACAAAATGTGATTATAACTGTTTGACTAGATCTACTAAAGGACAGCTGTTTTTTGCTGAGTTAGCTATCCAGAGTAATAGTCGGTAGTGTTATTAATAGTATAATAGTGTGAGAAATGTCCTCACAAAAAGAGAGGAAAGGAAGTTGGTGATCTCCTCAAAGATGCTAATGAGGTCAGACAGGAGACCACTGCACCGACAAGACGGGAAAAGCTGGAAAGCAGGAGCTGAACAGCATGTAGTCCCAAAGGAGTAGTTGAGTCACACAGGGGGTTGGAGGCAAAAACACGACAGGGTGACATCTCTGGAGATGATACGGGAGCCATGAACTGGGAGAAGCTTAGAAGAAGCAGCAACACTTAACCACAAGACACAGCCGTAGGCCTGGCTGTGAGCACTCCGCTGGGTGTCCCTGCTGAGCCATCGTATACACAAACAGACAGAAGCAGGATACATAAAATTCAGTGCAGCCTGTGTAGAGGAAAGTCCCAAATGGTGCTGCAAATCTATTTCCACATCACAGATACACCAAGCCTACCCCAAGGATTCACACACTGTACAAACTCAACTCAATAACCTCCCCCCTCATCCGAGCCTGTGACATTTGCAGAGAAGACCTTAAAGAGGGGGATAAGAGCAAAGACAGAGCTGGAGAAACGGGGGTGGGGAGGGGCTCCTCCTCTTCCTCTTTTCTCATTAGAATTCTCTCATCAGTCTTCCCCACAGAGCAGGGGCTTGACATGTCAGGGTTTATTAATTGCTCCAGGAAATATTATTGACCTGGACCTTCTGCGCCTTCTCTCCCCACTGCGGTCGGTGTCTCTGCTCTGCTGCCTCCGCATTCCTTTGGTGTCCTGCCTGGACCCATTACAGGACACTGCGGCACAGCGTGGAGGCTTCAACACAGTGTCTTCATTGACTATGCACTTGGCCTGGGTTTTCTTTTCACTGCAGCTGCAAAGCTCCACCTCACACACACATACGCTCTCTCTCTCAGGCACACCTGCAGCTTTGGGGAGAGAAAGCGCACACTTCATTATGGTGTGATAGAAGCTCTGTGTTGGTGCCCTTTGCTGAAATTCCAACTTTTGGAATGCTTTGGTGAAAAAAAAAAATCTTTTTAAAGGTGCAAACATCTCAAGGCTTATTGGTTTTTAAATCCCACCAGTAGTTTTTTTTTCTTTTTTCTTTCCTTTTTTTTAAAAGAGGTGCTTAAATCAGTCCGATGTGAATCCAGTCTGACTGCTCAAACATTAGAATCAATTAAATTATCTGGTTCCATCTACGAACGGCAAAAAGATAATAATTCAATTGCGACTCTTGGATGTCACTGTACAAGGACAATCTGAAAATCTGTGTGTGTGTGCAAGTCTTGTATATTTGTGAATTTGAACAAACATTTGTGTTTGCGAGCAGTGAAGGTGACAAAAGGAAGAGTATCTAATGTTTTTTGTGAAACCTCTTGGTGTGCGTCGCTTGATTTCATGCCTCGTGATCGTACTCTCAACTTGGATAGGACATTCATTTATAGCTCAACGTCATATGACATCTAGTGCTTTTGCTGGCACACATGGGGTGTGACTGTGGGAGGTTTCTTTAACTTTAAAGCCCTATTCTTGGTATATCCTGGAATTGAATTGCATTGGAAACTGCCGAAGGAAAACAGTTGTTAAGACTACTAACTTCTTTCCTAATCTGAAAATACATTGATGAGTCGAAATGGTTGTAATAATTGTGCTGCCATAACCTTAACCATCATGTGAAACCCCTTTCGTATGAAATTACTTTAAATGAAAGCTTTAAAGGATGTGTTTTTCCTTGGCCTGTGTATTACCTTTGGATGCTTTATTGCTGGATTTATTAAGGAACTATGTTATTTTTTTTT